CCTGGGGGAGGAGACTGAGAAAATGCTCCCTCCTGCCTGCAGCAGTCTAATCCCTGGGGGAGGAGACTGAGAAAATGCTCCCTCCTGCCTGCAGCAGTCTAATCCCTGGGGGAGGAGACTGAGAAAATGCTCCCTCCTGCCTGCAGCAGTCTAATCCCTGGGGGAGGAGACTGAGAAAATGCTCCCTCCTGCCTGCAGCAGTCTAATCCCTGGGGGAGGAGACTGAGAAAATGCTCCCTCCTGCCTGCAGCAGTCTAATCCCTGGGGGAGGAGACTGAGAAAATGCTCCCTCCTGCCTGCAGCAGTCTAATCCCTGGGGGAGGAGACTGAGAAAATGCTCCCTCCTGCCTGCAGCAGTCTAATCCCTGGGGGAGGAGACTGAGAAAATGCTCCCTCCTGCCTGCAGCAGTCTAATCCCTGGGGGAGGAGACTGAGAAAATGCTCCCTCCTGCCTGCAGCAGTCTAATCCCTGGGGGAGGAGACTGAGAAAATGCTCCCTCCTGCCTGCAGCAGTCTAATCCCTGGGGGAGGAGACTGAGAAAATGCTCCCTCCTGCCTGCAGCAGTCTAATCCCTGGGGGAGGAGACTGAGAAAATGCTCCCTCCTGCCTGCAGCAGTCTAATCCCTGGGGGAGGAGACTGAGAAAATGCTCCCTCCTGCCTGCAGCAGTCTAATCCCTGGGGGAGGAGACTGAGAAAATGCTTCCTCCTGCCTGCAGCAGACTGATCACTAAGGGAGTAGAGACAGAGGGAATGCTTCCCCTTGCCTGCAGCTTAAGGCTGGCTTTTTGATAACAGGTCGAGCTTTTGTTTTAATCAGAGATGCAAAAAGCAGAGCTGATGTGATGTGATGTCAGCCCTTCTCTCTGCATGAAGACACTATGAATGAAGTGCGCCGTGGTCAGACATAATGTCCCAAATGATTAGTTTGTCCTCAATCTTCCCACATTGAATGACGCTGGGCATCAAAGAAGTACCGGGGGGAAAACCCGTTGTGCCTGAGCTCCTTTTTTATCCTCTGAAATGACTGGGGGCCCTTAGCTGACCGGGGGCCCTTTATTATTTAAAAAAAGATTCCTGGAGTTGGCCTTTAAATACACCAGTAATTAGATGCAGCTTTCGTCCAGTGAGCCACTCCTAAAAATTGCCAATTATTACAGGTCTGTCAGCTCCAGTGGGGCCACAAAATGGCTCCCTCTGCCCTATACACCTGACAGGTACTCTTCAGTGCCGAAGCTTCTGCCTCACCTTACAAGAAAGTCGGTCCGTGGCGTGTATTTAATTAGAATCCATTGTACGTTTCATTTTTCCATCTAAATTAAATGTCAAGGCGATTTCAGTGCAGACAGAACGCATCTCGGCACCTCTATTGTGGCATTAAACGGGCCAAGTGAATGTAATATTGACAGACTCTGGAGAGATAACCTCTCCCGGAACAGGTCAAAGAGATTGTTTGGTGAAAGGGGAAGGTTGTCTCCCGGAACGCTGTCAATTGTAAATGTAATAAGAGACGCTGCGCACAATAAGAAAACCATTATATTTCCTTACTGTGGGGCTCACCGCTAGAAAAAAGGGTGCGGCCCAGCCAGCTCTGCGTGCGGCAATGTCACCGCACAAGCTGCATTAGCAGCATAGACGGGACTGCACAAAACGCATGTGTCTGTCGCCAAGATGTCATGGGACTGGAAGGGACACCTCAGGGAAAAAAAAGATGTCTAGATATAAACCCAGTCTGTCTGCTTTAAACCCAGCGATACACTAGACATGTGCGATTCGTTTCGTTACGAATCGAAATTCGTACGAATTTCCTGAAATTCGTAAATTCGGAAGCATCCGAAATCCGAATTGCAGTTTCCGAATTATATCCGAAATACGAAATTCCGTTAACGAATTTCGGATCCGAATTTCGTTGAAACGGGAACTAATATTACCCCTGTAAATGAGGTTGAACAACATGACAAGATTTTTTTTTAATCCAAAATACGAAATTCCGCTGCTGCTGAGGGTTGCATTACAATACACAGGCAGGAAATACGAAATTCCGTTAACGTATTTTCGTTCCGTTACGAACATTCGTTATATTGAAGTTAAAAAGCAAAAATACCTTTGTTAATATATTGGAGTTGATGGTAGTTTTTGTTTTTTTATCCGAAATACGAAATTCGGATCCAAAATCCGCTAACAGAATTTCGTATTTCGTATTTTAAAAAAAATTACCATCGACTCCAATATTAACAAAGGTATTTTTGCTTTTTAACTTCATCATAACGAATGTTCGTAAAGTTACGAAAATGTGACGAAACTAACGAAAATTGGTATTTCGTACGAATCCGAATTGAGTTTCGGACACGAATTACGAAATACGAAATAACGGATATTCCGAAACGAAACACATTTTTTGACGGCGCACAAGTCTACAATACACTGAGGCAGCAAGTGGTTCACCCAATGCCAAAACACAAGATGAACAACATTGTGTACGCAGTCCAGTGCAGTGAGGAGTGCTCAGAATTGTATGCCAATGAACCAAAACAGCAGCAACACCAGCGTATGGCACAGCATAGAAGAGCCAAACCCTCTGGTCAGGATTCAGCAGTGTACCTACATCTAAAGGAAAAGGGTCACTCCTTTGAAGACAGTCAAGTACGCATCCTAGACAGGGAGGAGGACTGGTTCAAAAGAGGTGTGAAAGAGGACATTTATGTAAAAATGGAGAAGCCAAGCTTGAATAGAGGTGGGGGGGTGAGACGTGGGGGGCCAACCAAGGCCGGCCTTGGGGCAGCAAGAAGTAGAGGGGCAGCAGGGGTGTGGAATTCCTGTCTCCCAATGTCCGGGCGGGTAGTTTTTTTGTACATTTAGCCCTGCTTTGGGCAAGCAGAGCTAAATGTACAGCAGGGAACCTGCCGATTGTTTTGTACAAGTAATCTTGGCGACATTGTATGCAGCCTGCAGGTCTGCCCTGCCCCATGGGGGGGTTTGGCGAGTAGGGGAGCGCATTGGAGGAACCGGGCCTTGGGGCAGCAGAGAGAGTAAATCTGGCCCTGGGTGAGACATCTATTGTCTGCCACATACAATGCTGTTTTAACACCTCTCTGGGCAGATTGAAAATCCCTCCTAGCTCCAATTATGCAAATGCAATCAACACCTGGCTGTGACTAACAGATTATGTGGATTGGAGCAACATTCACCATATTTATTCCACTCAATTTCCCTCCTACTCAATACTGATCCTTTTCAGGAGAAAATTATCATGAGCTAAAAAAGCAAATGAAGTTAATTAAATCATCTCAGTGAATGGAGCCTGATGTGTTATGTCACACAAGCGATCTACATTGCCTTACAACAGCACATTATATCACCCAGCAACAGACACCATACTGTGTTATTCCACTACAACAAATGATGTGAAATGTCACTGTAACAGCAAATTACATCATGTCACAATGGCACGTTATAGATCACAGAGCAGCACAACACTATACTATATAATATTACAGTAAATGATGTAACGTACTGTCACACTGTAATAACAAATGTAATCAATAAGTAACAGAAAAATTATATCACATCACAAGAGCACATTATATCACCAGCAACATTATAGCACACTGTAACAGCAAATTGCATCAATAAGCAACAGAGAGTTCTATAAAAATCCTAATGTAAGATAGAAATCTCCAGCCCTCAGGAAATGAAGTTGAAAAAATAACGTCCATTTATTTGGACCAAACGTCACATATATTTTGCATAATCCAACGTTTCGGTCCCTTCATCAGGGCAGAGGTCAAATCTCTGCCCTGATGAAGGTCAATCTCTGCCCTGATGAAGGGACCGAAACGTTGGATTATGCAAAATATATGTGACGTTTGGTCCAAATAAATGGACGTTATTTTTTGAACTTCATTTGCTGAGGGCTGGAGATTTCTATCTTACATTGACTGCTGTGCACGGCGCCGTCCGTGTTTGTCACTTCGAGCACCACAATTGTTACTTGAAACGGGAACGCTGCAGGGAGTAACATTAAACTTACTGATAAAATCCAAAGACAGCACAATATATAACTACCAAAGGGCAAGTGTTGTATATAACTTACCTGTGTGTCTTCCGGTATTCTCCTGAGGCCTCCCAGCGGCATCCTGTGTCCTTCTTCTGATGTCATCTGCGCATGCACATATAAAGGAACTGTCCTCATGTCCAGCGCCCAATTATTGCTTTCCCCATTGAGTTTTTCCTTGCTTGTTTCTTCTTTGGATTGACTTCCATGTGAGGACCACCACCTCTGCGTATCCATATTTGCATATCCACCACCCATCCAGATGTCTCACCTGTCACCTGATGCCTCAGCTCTGTTCTTATCTTGGTCTGGTAGTCCACAGGCCCGCTGCCCAGTCCAGTCCATGGTTCGTCTGTTTCATTACAGACCTGTGTTCTTGCTGTCTTTGGTATCTTCTGCAGCCCTGCTGCCTGGTCCAGTCCACTGTTCATCTGCTACACTCCAGATCTATGCTCTAGTTTGCCCTGGTGTGGTCCTACAGCCCTTTGCTGCTCTCCTTCACATGACTCCTGTTCACTCCTCCGCCTCCGGTACGCTCCTGTGCTTTGTTTTCTACTAGGATGAGTTAGTCATCTCCGATTAGGACAGGAGGAACCTAGGGGTAGTGACCTGGGGTCAGCACACTGCTAAATCCAAACCTACGTTAAGGGGTCTCTAGTGGAATACCGGCTGGCCCTCAGACTCCACGCCATGGGGAATCCCATGTCACCTGTTTACGCAGAAGTCCACTATTCACCTTCATAACAGATGCCTCGGGTGCCTGGCATGTGAGCAGAGCTCCTTTAAATGCATGCACACCAATGACATCATTGGGCAGAAACAGGATGCCGCTGGGATGCTTCAGGAGGATTCCAGAATCATTTGCTGGACAAGGAGAGCCGGACATCGCTGGAGCAAGAAAGGTAAGTGACCCTGCTTGGCTGCAGGTGAGCTCAGGTCACACCTACCTGAACAGGTGACGCAGCTTATTCCTTCCGCACTTAGGTTGTTTTTAAGGTCCAGCAGTAACTGAATATTTGTGTCCGGTTTAAAGAGCACCGGGGCCCGGCTGGCCGGACGAAGACGAGCCGCAAATGATACAGAAAGGATAAGGATCACCACAAACAAACCTGAGGGGAAAAAAATGAGCGCAGCAGATAGAATGCATTAATCACTAAAATGTGCAAATGGAGGTTTATTAAACATTTCATTGGTGTAGACTGACAGTGTCCCCGCCCCCATAACTGTCATGCCTGCCTGCCTGTCATGATCATCCAATGCTTCACTTCTTTCCAAGTCTCTGACCCAGAACAAGTATGCAAATAGGATGAAAAAAATGGGATGTTCTACATTATTAAGAATCTGAATTTATTATTCTCCTCCCCTCCCTCACTTTTCTCTTTCCTCCCCCCTCTGTCCTGTAAACAAAACAGGAAATGAGAAGAAATCTCTCAGAAGTGAGGGAAATGTCCTCATCTGTCACTGGAACCATACCTCCATACCTACCAACATTTTGGTACTGATCCCTGGGGCACAGTCAACCCCACCTACCCAGTACAGGGTGGTTCTTCTGCAGTGGCCTCTCAAAACCCCATCTCTAATTATGCAGGGACCTCCCACTCTGCTTCTAATTCTGCAGGGACTCCACCCCTCGAACGCTGTAATGAATGCCTTATAGAGTTATTATGCATGCGCAGTAACTAAAATGAGGGTGACTCTGTGGTTCCAAGACATTGCCTGGGCCACAGCATCTTCAGGACTCAGGCCCAAGATGTAGGACTGTGCCGCCAAATCTGACATCTATGGATTCTAACCCTTCCACACTCGCACTCCATGTAAAAACACTACGTGCAGCAAAGCCTACAGCCTCTTAGGACTTGGGCACTTAAAGTATCTGCTGGGACCAATGAAACATTTTTTTCTTTAGATGCAGCTGTCTACAAAATGCTCCATGAAATGAATGTGTGTACAAACCCGGCCAGAAGCAAAATGCTCCAAAGCAACTACCATTTTCAGAAGGAGAGGTCGGGCAGAGCCGCTTACATGATCCATGACTGGTCCCCTTCAGTAATATAATGTATAAGCCCCAAAGCAGAGTCCCAGAGCTCAGAATAAGGAAAGCCCAATTCTGATTGGTCAGTGTGTCTCAATGGCTCTCCTCTCGTTAAACAAAGGCCGAAGAGACGGACCATCTCACCAACGGTAATATGGCGGCCCTTGACGGTGGTCCACAGCACGCAGTGGTGCAGGATGGTGTGCAGCCCCCTGATGAGCTGATCCGTGCGGTCTGCGTCCATCTTCTGCTCTACATTATCCGGCAGGACGGAGACCAGGGGCACGTCACCGAACTCCAGGGCCACTGGAGAGAGCAGACAGGGAGGTGCTTTATCGGGCTCACATTTGTAAATAATAGACAGCGCTTAAATAGAAAGAAAACGTATAAACAGCCTGTGACCTCATATTGTCCAATACAACATCACAAAGCATCATTGCATGCACGTCTTGTCATCGTATTGTAGTATTCCTACTGGGTATGCATCTGAACGGTTTGCTCATGAGCAATGCTAACGTATATCCAACATGTTCCTAACGGATCGGATCTATGCGGGCAAAATGGTGCTAGTGAGCGCCGCACAGGAAGCACGCCTGCTGTGTATTGTATATAGACATACTGGCTTTTAAGGGAGGGCGTGTGTCAGTGACCGGCCTATGGACACTTTGCTGAAATGTCCCGGAAATCGGTCACTGAGTACAACCCTTTAATGACCAGTGACGTCCATAGTACGTCACTGGCATCGGGCCGTTTAAACAGAAAGCCGCCGGGACTCTGTTTAAACTTGTAAAGCCGACTGTCGGCTTTACAGTAGATCGCTTCTACGGGCCGGTAAACGGGGCTCCCCCGCAAGCCCCCACACCCCTACAGTGTTTCCCGGGCTCTGCTGCTCCTCCTACGGGATCAGGACAGGCTTTTCTGGTGTCGGGGGGAAATTTGGGAGATCGGCGAACCGCCCTTCACTAATCTCGTCCCCGTACTATGGGACCGGGAGCGATGCAGATTACATCACTTCCGATCCCATAGCTGTCAGTACTGGGCTCCTGAAACCTGCGATCTGCACTTCAATAGCTTATTTCAAGTGTAAAGGTGATACTAGGAGTCTCTTGGACCCCATATATCACCTTAAAGAGTACCTGTCACTGCCAATATGCTATCACATGGGGGGCTTGTAAGCTCCCCCATATGATAGCAATTAAAGTAAAGTTTAAAAAAAAAAAAACGTTTTTAAAATTAATATTGAATAAAATAAATATAAAAATATTTTTTAAAAAACATGGGCATGTTGGGTATCTATATACTCGTTGTAACCTAATTTTTTATATTTTATTAAAAGAAATGGGTATTTTTTGTGTTTTGGGGCATTTAAGTGCATTTATCATTAAATTTGGGGGTTAATATCGTGCAACATAGAAATTTGCAACGGCCACCATTTTATTCTATAGGGTCTTGGCTTTCAGAAAATATATCATGTTTGGGGGTTTTAAGTAATTTTCAGGCCTAAAATGTGAAGGTCATGAAGGGGGTTAAAGGGGTTTGATTGACAGCTGGATTTAGAACCTCGTTCAGTGTTTTCTTGTAATCCGCAAGAAATCTATATTTCATTTTAACTTTAATGTGAACAATTTATACAAAATGAATATCGAGATAAAAAAGGAAAACCGGTCTGAGTTCTACAAATGATAATAAACTGTATTTCGACATTTCTTGCTACGCCTTGCAGGTCAATGAAAATGTTTTTGTACATAGAACTTATTACCTAATGACAGGCGTGGCCTTTTAAAGAGAACCAGTCACCTCTTGGCCTATGCAAACTTTTTAATACTATAATTGTGTTGGATCGTTTATGGATTTTCAATGCTGCCATTGCTGACCTTTTGGGCTCTGTGCCCGCTAAATCTCAGAACACAGTGTTCCCGAGTCACGCACCAACCTCTATGACCAACACTATGACCCCATTCACACTGAGCCAAATCAAAAAAAGCAATTTTTCAGCGCTGATTTGAGCGGCGCGATATTGAGCTACAGTGCACATTTTGTCGCGCTACGTAGCGTTTCTTTTGGCAGTCTATCAAAGCCTATTGGGGCCAAATCGCACGAAATCCGCCAAAAAAATAGGTCATGTTCGAGCTACAGGCGACATTGAGCTGTGAGAGGTGAACAGCTCCATTGAAATGCATTGGACGAGCTACACTGAGCTTCATGTTTGAACGATTTTTGAGCGGAAATCGCGTTACAAAACGCTCAGCGTGAATGGGGTCTATAGCCTCATCCGCACAGGGCTCTTTGACCAACTGAAGCCTGCTGAATCTGGACTCTACAACACCCAGAATGAACATCTGCAGCGTTCACTAGATTGCATTTAACATGTCACAGATGAAGCGATTCCACCTACCGGCATCCTCCTCCACCGTCAGCAGGGGAATGTCGTCGTCCAGGTAGGGGACAGTGCTGGGGACGGGGTGGGAGCAGGCCTCGCGCCCTAGTATGAGATCTTCATAGATATTCAGACTGCTTTTCTTGAGACACTTCTCACTGCAACTGAAGACAGAGAAGGAGATGATTGGAAATGTTCCTCGCTAAGGCACGCCGCATCACCGGAGAGCAATAAACAGAACCAGCAAGACTGAAATTCATTTAAATTCCATTTCTGGAGATGACGTGCAATTCTCCAAGGCACTTCCTGAGAGCGGCAATGGCGGGGGGGACAGAGCCCGAGTCAGAGGTGGCCATATATATATATATTAGGGCAGTTACTGATTAAAATTTTCGTGTTCGATTAATCGAAAATTATTTTTAATCGATTAATCGATTCATTTTGATTAATTATAACGCACATACAGATCCAACTACGTTGGCCTATACACATACAGCACAGCAATGAAGTAATAAAATGAACTAGGATCACACTAATCCAGCACGTTATTCATCTCACGTGCCCCACTCAATATGGCCGCCGCTTGAGTGGGGCAACTCAGAATAATACTACTAATAATAATAATACTCATTGCTGTGCTGTATGTGTATAGGCCAATGCCTTGGCTGGCGCTCGTGCAGAACAAGTTTCAAAAAAAATTTTATCGATCAAAAAGATTAACGATTAATCGAGAAATTAATCGTTAATTTGCACAGCCCTAATATATATATATGTGTGTGTGTAACACAGGATTCAAACAGCTCCGGTATCATAGAATAAAGTGTAATACTAAGTAACAACACTAAACATTATAGATAAGAACATTTTCGTATTTTTTTTCTCTTTTGTGTTACTGAAGCCCTGATGAAGAGTTGTGGCACCCGAAATGTGTTGGCCTTGCAAACTCTCTATAATTGGAAGAAATTTGGACTTAAAAGAGAAATAAAGTCAACCTTCTTTTTTTTTACTCCTTTTTTGGGGGTCAAAGGAGATCATTTACTAATGTACCCAATCTATAGAGCCAGCATGTGACACCTGGCTGTGGTGGAGACAAGACCAGTCACCCTGCTCAAGGAGAGAGAGCAGCAGTGACCGGTCTTTATTACAGGAGGGGCAGAGACAAGACCTGTCACCCTGCACAAGGAGAGAGAGCAGCAGAGAGCAATCTTTATTACAGGAGGGGGCGGAGATAAGACCAGTCACCCTGCACAAGGAGAGAGCAGCAGTAAGTGGTCTTTATTATAGAAGGGGGCGGAGACAAGACCAGTCACCCTGCACAAAGAGAGCAGTACTGACTGGTCTTTATTATAGGAGGGGGCCGGAAACAAAACCTGTCACCCTACACAAGGAGAGAGAGAAGCAGTGAGCAATCTTTATTACAAGAGGGGGCAGAGAAAAGACCAGTCACCCTGCACAAGGAGAGAGCATGAGTGACCAGTCTTTATTATAGAAGGGGGCGGAGACAAGACCAGTCACTCTGCACAAGGAGAGAGCAGCAGTGAGCGATCTTTATTACAGGAAGTCTCACACTGGATTACTGCACAGATCTGGAATACACACACAAAGCTCACCGAGATTCAAGAAGAACACGCATGACTTTGATATGTTTATCCCGGCGTTCAGCTTTAACGTGATCAAATCACGAAGTGAGCGATCTGTCGCCATGTAAGGTTCGGAATATATGAAATACTGTACATCGGGGTGAAGATACTTTTTACGTTTCTTCCGTCATCCGGCATTCAGAATACAAATCTCGACTCACTTTGAGTGGCACAGCGTCTCCAGCGGCGAAACGTAGGCTCCCCATATTCCCAGGGCCGCCGGCATGATAAACAGCACGGCTACCCAGCAGCACGAGACGATGAGTGACATGAAGAGGCCGAAGTCATGAACGGCGGGGATCTGCGAAAAGACGGGAGATGAGTCACAACTGTCAGGAAACAATATCATCAAACCAATTCCGGAGCGGAGGAAGGGAATCAAAGCCGGCTCCCTCCACCGGCAATCTCAGGCTGTCAGGCAACCCTTGCCTGCGTGCGGCGGAAGAAGACATTTACTGACAGCCGTGGCGGCGTTTTATAGAAACGCGGACTGACCTGTCACCATTCGAGGAAGCCATTTTGTAGCAGGAACTAATATTGCAGAAAAGAAGTAAACAAGTTAGGCGCTAATGATATCGGAGAGCAGACATGGAGCAAGCCGAAACAATGCTTCATTCAGACGCTAGAGCAGGTATAGGCAACCTCGGCCCTCCAGCTGTGCTGAGACTACAAATCCCTATGGTAGGAGTCATGGCTGAGGCTGTCAGTCTTGCAGTGCCTCCAGGGCTGGATTTCCCACAAGGCCACCAAGGCCAAACCTTGGGGCGGCAGGGGTGTGGGATTCCCATTGCCCGACTCCCGGGACATGCAGTTGCAGGTGCCAGGCGGGTAGTTTTTTTTCTACATTAGCTCTGCTTTGGGCAAGCAGAGCTAAATGTAGAGCGTGGGAAGCGATGCTGCCCACCCCCTCCTCCTCCGGTTGCCTCTCTCCCAGCCGGCTGTCACAGGAGAGCCAGCACGGTGCTAGAATGCTAGAACTCCTATATTGGGTTCAATAAAGAGAACCTGTTGCCTCCAAATGCTATCACACAGGGGCTTGTTAGCGCCTGACCTCCATGATTAAAAGAATTAGTGAAAGGGGCGGGGCCAGGGACAGTCAGCCTGGGGAGGAAAATGCTAGATGATAATGGACGTCCTCCTGCCAGGAAATGAGGCGGGCTCTATCTGACTTGCTGCAGCTTCTAATGCACATTGTTAGAAGCTCGCAGTGTGCAGTGACATCAGGGTAAGGGCTCGTTCACACGAGAAAAAGCCGGCACGTACAGCTCCGTGCTGCATGACCTGACAGTGGTTTAACCCTTCCCAAAAAAAAGTGGCTGGCTTTCAAAATATTTTTTTCATTATATGAGAGCTGGCTGCCATTAAGAAGGTGAACGCAGGTTTTAGCTGTGGCTCCATCCGTCACAATGGCCGTCTGAACGTTAACACAAGTGCCAGGCCCGGGCCTGATGATGAAACGCGCCGGCTTCTAACCTGGGAGAAGATGTTTGCTGCGTAGGCCGAGGCGGTGGTTAACGAGGTGAAGAAGGTCGCTTTCCCAGCCGTCTGTATGGTGTGGATCATACGCTGACGAGGGTCTTTGATGTGCTCGGCCTGGCGGTACGTGTTAATGAACACAAACACGTCGTCCACACCTATCGAGAGACACAAAAAACAGCTCACAGTACAAGGAAAACACCTTCTACTTTTACCTCAATGTGCACAGTAACCCATAGCAACCAAGACTTTGATATGATAAAAGCTGAAATCTAACCAGTTGCTATGGTAACATGCGACTGACTTTCTTGTACCTGGCCTATATTCAGTTTTAAAAACACAACAATGTGCAGTAAGCCATAGCAACCACCAACAAGTACTTTATAATGCGTCTCTGACTTGGTTACGATGGGTTACAGGACTATGCAAACATAATTTATTATCCTCTGAACACTTATGCACGTGCGTTATGTCCTGCGATAATGTGCGTTGCATTAAAATGGGTTTCTAAGCCACCAAAACATCCCAAAAATCGGGCGTGTCACATTATGACATAACGAATTGCAACGTACTATGGTCTGTGGCAGCAGCCTGTGCGTCGGGGGCTATTTGCAATAAATGGCATCGCAATTGTGTCACCACCTTTGTGGTTGCACGTGCGTTCCCATAATGTATAGATGTGCATTGGCTGGCTCGGGGATTGGGCTGCAAATTGCATTGAGACCTTTCTTTGACTGCCATTAATTTTGTTCCCTAGCAACCAAAACACGAAGGCCTCGTTCACACAGGCGTAAAGAACAGACGTCTGCTGTGCGTTCATAAAGCGTTCCAAGAGTTTTGCAAAGCAAATGGCTGCTGTTTACATGAATAGCAAAACCGGAGATGAGAAAATCTGGAGCAGTTCCCATAGTAACCGATCAGCTTCTATTCTCAGTCTGGTCAGTTAAGCTTTGGAAATAAAAAAAACAGAAAATGATTGGTTGCCATGGGCAACTGCTCCAGATTCTGTCTGCTCCAGTATTGATAAACTCCTTTCGCAGCGCCTTTGCCTCACTTTGCGCCACGGTAATTTCGATCTTGCCTGCGGCGTAACCAAGGCCGCCAAAATGAATTTAAATTGCATCTGAAATGCAAACTAACGCTACAGGCATTTTAGTCTTAAAGGGCAAGCACACGTTAAAGCAAAATTCACTTATCCTTTAGGTCCCTTTTAAGGTGACATCAACGCTCCCTCCATCTCTGTCGCGAGATTAAAGGAGAACTATGAGGTGAGTGCTTTTCACATAGACAATGAGACTGTCACAGGTCGGATCGGTAGGTGAGCGAACACATACCGGCGTTCGCTCACCTCTCGATCCTGTCACGGCTCTCTGCCGTGACAGAGGAGGGGCTGGATTCCCCCCTCCCCGCTCCGATCCGCCAGCGCTGACTTGCGGAACACGGCAGGTCACGCAGCTGGGCGGATCCCGGCACAATTGTCGGGATCCGCTTCAGCTGCGGCGTCTCAGTATAACACGAGCAGCAGCTCGCGGTATACTGCGGCGTCTCAGTATACCGCGAGCTACAGCTCGCGGTATACTGAGCCTAGGGTGACGGGAGGACGCTAGTTTGTGTCCTCCCGTTACCCTAAGGAGAACTATGGGGAAAAGACTTAACCCCATAGTTCTCCTTTAATACTTACCGAGTTCAGAAAGGCCCGGCCTTGGTTGTTTGTTTACATCCTGCGGTGGACGTCTCTTTCTCCTGGCCGTTTCTATGGGGCACTATGGGGCTGCGCGGGAACGACCAGGGAAGTGAGACCACACAGGATATAAAGAAACAACCAAGGCCGGGCCTGTCGGAACTCATTAAGTTTTCGTCTGTGCATGGGGAGTCACCTTAAGGGCCTAAAGAATAAGTGCGCTTATCCTTTAACTTAGGCTAAGGTCAGCAATTCTGTGGCTTCTTCAAAATCTCCCGTGTGACATGGGTCTTAGAGCACCATGGCTAGGGTTGCCACCTTTTCTTCCAGCGAAACCCGAACACTCTAGCGGCGCACGGAAATTTATTTGGGGAGCATGAGTCGATGCTTATTCATATGTAAATAGCCCCATCCATTCATATGTAAATATCACAGTAGAGACTATTTTTAGTGGGGGGCCAGTAGCCCCTATCTTAATTTTGGTTGCCCCTGTCTGTCTGACATCATGTGTCCAGTTATCAGCTGCCATCAAACCCGGACACAGTATTCAAAACCCGGACTGTCCGGGTGAATCCTGGACAGGTGGCAACCCTAACCATGGCTTTCGTGGGCTCCCGGCCTGCAGGCACCTCTTGGTACTGTCGTTTTAGCCAGGTACCAGTTTAGCAAGTTTTTAGAAAGTGACAGGTTTTCTTTAAAATGCACTACGACCCCAAAAGGCGCTCCGGAGCCGCCCACAGCGCATGTGCAGCTTCTGATTATTGATGAGCTGGAGCGTGCGCCGACACTGCCAGCCCCGGAGCAATGCATTGTGGGATCGGGTAGATGCGTGCACAGCCATGACATCAATGACACATCAGAGCGGCCTCGGCAGTGGCGTCCCGAGGCTGGGTGACACCCGGAGCGGTGTCCGAGTGTCACCCCGCAACCCCCCGCACCCCTCTTGTGACGCCACTGGGCCTCGGGCAGAGCAGTGAAATATGGAATCCGGCAACTTTTCTTTTTTTCGGTTACAAGTTCACTTTAAACTTTAAAAATCCGAAAAATCTCCTGGCCGTAAAACTGCAGCGACAGCATCGCGGGCCGATCACGGCGAGGACGCAATGATTTTCTATCAAGCTGCACCACATGCCGGTTTTATAACCTAAAAAGAAATATTGAATCGCAGCGCGTCGGAGAATGATAAAAGGAAAGTACTTTTATAGAAAGCAGAATCGTTGTTGGTCACGGAGGAGTTCGGCGCCGAGCTCGCCGTTATTGGATTTTTACAGCACAGATCATTAAAGAGTACAAAGTGTATCTGTACCGCAGTGGGCGGGGGCGGGACAACGTTTCTGGCTTCAGGAAAGTGCCGCAATCCCGAGCGACCAATCAGAATTCAACTTTGTATCACATTTCCTTTATTGATCCTGCCAGTAACACACTTCCTGTCCTAAGGTGACAACCTACGGTGCAAAATATAACCCCATATAAAATTGTAATAACACACATGACCGCATACTTACCAATGCCGACAATGACGAAGGCCGCCACCCCGTTTAGTATTCCGAGATACTGAATGCCGAAGGCCACATGGTAAAGGAAAAGAGCCACCAGGCAGCTGAGGCCGATGCTGGCAATCCCAAAAAAGGACAGGAACACTGTATAAGGCGGGGACACCATTATTATTATTATTATTATTATTCATCATAATACAAACAGAAATAATAATAAATCATGAAAATAAAAACATAAATTAATGAAAAAAATATACAAGTTATACAGATTTCAGCAAACGTTCCCGCTTTTGTTCCGCAGATACTGATGTACGGGGGTTCTGGGGAACTTGCTGAAATTATTCTAAATGAGAGTTTCTACCTTCGCTACATTCACATGACCAATCCCAGCGCTGTGATCAGTCACTGCACTCCCGGCATACATTTAGAAGCAGATGACACATCCAGTGCAGTAAACATAAACGCATTGCTGGGGATGCCATAATAGTGCAGTGGCCGGGGGGCTCTGTAGAGACTTCTGGGGGGAGGCGGTGAGGTATTTATAGGAAAGGGATTTACTTGGTTTGCATACAGATCATATAGAAATGTTCTACACACACTTTCCCCCGCGGTACCTGAGAATGAGGTGAGGATGTAAACGAGGACGGCGATACAGCCGGTGCTGATGAACGCCAGCAGCATGTCGTTGTTGAAGGTCGTCCGCACTTCGAAGTCGAACAGGTCGGTCCCCCCGTACAGCACCTGAACTTTACTTGTGAGAGGAAATAAATACAATCATCAGAAAAACTCAGAACCCGGAATCTCATTATGTAAATACCAGAACAATGTGTATAGCTCCTGATCAAACAAGAACAGCTGACGCGTTTCAGGGGCAGAACACACCCCACCCCCAGTCCTTCATCAGGGCTTAAAAAGGGATAAGGATTGGATTGGACTAACTATGACCAAATGGATGTCCGTATGATGTGTTGTAAAGATCTCCTCCGGGGCTGGAATTGTAGTTGTCAGCTGCTGGTTACAATTCAAATTCTATATACATCCATTAGGTGAACCTTCTACTCTAAGGGGTCTATTCACAAAGCTGCCGAGGGCAGCCGAGTGAATGACCGATCAGAAGTGAAGTGAGCCGAATGCCGTTCGGCTGTTCACTTCAGGCTGGTACGGCTGATTTCAGCCGTACATCGGCACTCCGCATGCAGAGAACTCAGTGCCTGCAGACGCCTTTATCTGACATCAGAACTAGCGGGACCCTCGACTTCGGCGCACTGTGCGATTCAGCATGCGCTGACCCCGCTCTGTCATTTTACGTGGCCTGCAACTTAGTGGTACTATAACAAAGTGGAAGCAACTGGGAACAACAGCAACTCAGCCACGAACAGGTGATCGTGGAATATTTAATAGCAAGGAAATGTCACGGCACACCTGAATCCAATGATTGGGAGGGGTGTCCCAATACTTTTGGCAATATAGTGTATATACAGTCGGGTGAGTGAGCGTTGTCACCGTGGGACAGGAAGTGCGTTATTAGTAGGATCACCGGGTAAAAATAAAGGAATGCAGCCGCCTCATGTACGGACGGGTAGTCTGCAATACATTTCGTTGTTGGGTTTCTATCCGCTTTACCTGTAGCAGGCCACGCTACAGCCATAGGTGTGACTTTGGGCCACTAGGGGGCAGCGGGGACACAAAAGCCCCCCCCCGGAATTTCCCGCTTTAATGCTGAAAAGAGAAAAGCGTTTTATTGGGAGTTTTACTGCCGCCTGTTAATGGCTCGTTACGGGCTCCCTAATGGCCGAGGTTTGCACTAATTTAATTTATGAGCTTGCTCATCGAACCGATTTCTCCAATAACGCTCTTCAAAGGCCGTGTTCCCATAAAGATCGCTGTCCAAGCCGCGGCGGCGGCCAACGCTCAATACACCGGCCGCATTACCCACATTGTTCATCATTTCCATTAATCATCGGCGCCGGGCAGATCGAAGGAGACTCGGGGCTCTGCGGGCACCCAGACGAAATGATGAAAGAGTGTTTACTGAGATCATTCACGTCGCGGCAAAGTCATCAAAGGAGCATTAATAAGAACGCCGGAATTTAAAGGGGAGACTGATTGGCTTCCAGCTGGACCTCCCGCCTCCCCTTCAGTCTTGCGTGGTTGTACCGGCTCCTCTCCTGGACTGGAATGGCTTCCTCTGATGTCACTGCACGCCGGGAGCCTCTCACAATGTGCATTAGAAGCTGAAGCAAGTCAGATAGAGCCCGCCTCATTTCCTGCCTGGAGGATGTCCAGCATCATCTAGCACTTTCCTCCCCAGGCTGACTGTCCCTGGCTCCGCCCCTTTCACTCATTGGATTTCAGTTCTTTTAATCATGGAGGCTCAGCATCATATGTGGGTGTTACCTATGCAAATTCCACCTGCCTAGACACTCCCACTCCTCCAGGTCGGCACCCACTTTTTTTATTTTATCATTTTTTACTTTATTATCACTTTTTATTTTATTATTTCTATTATCTTTTATTTTTATTGTTTGTAATTTTTATTTCCTATGGGGGAGGGGAGACTGAGGAAGTACTTCCTCCTGCCTGCAGCAGACTGATCACTGGGGGAGGGGAGACTGAGGAAATGCTTCCTCCTGCCTGCAGCAGTCTGATCCCTGGGGGAGGGGAGACTGAGGAAATGCTTCCCCTGCCTGCAGCAGACTGATCTCACTCTAGGCAAAGTCACATGACTGGAGCTCAAGGACGGCTTTTTAATTATAAAAAGTGAAGCTTGTTAAAAACAATAAAGTTACATTGTTGCGGTAGATTGCAGAGATGTATCGGTGCAGATTTATCAAGTTGCCGATCGCTGCCATAGGAGGAGGTCGGCTCTGTCCATGTTCATAAACTGGAAGGCCTCATTCACACACAACGCAAGAGCAAAATTGTATACTGCGTTTATACGCGCATATGCGTGCACTATATGCAATCCCAGAATGCATCATTCGTAATAGAAATTGTAATGCACTATACACGCGTATGTGCGTATATATGCGCGTAAACATCCGTAATATATGCACGTAAATACGCAGCAATACGCTGTCCGGACGCATCTCGGTTCCATTCTGTTTGTGCCCATTTTTACGCTACGCAAATATACGGCTCCATACGCGGCTGTGTGTATGGAGCCATTTATTTGCATATGCTGCATGTGGTACAATACGCGGGTATATGTACGGCAGTGTGAATGAGGCCTAACTGGGACGGGCTGTGCACTAGGAATACATGGAGGAGCATTTATCAATACGGGAGCAGACAGAATCTGGAGCAGCTGAGCACGGCAGCCAATCAGCATCCACCTTTCATTTTCAAACGTTAACTGAAAAAACTCAACAGAGAAGCAGATTGGTTGCCATGGGCAACTGCTCCCAGATTTTTCTGCTCCAGTTTTGATCAATTCCCCTCATTGTATTTATTCTCAGACAATATCCCGGTTTGCTTCAGTCTCAGACCGGTTGCTAATTTCCTCTTCCCCGGCTTGTCAGGCCTGTCAGTGGGTGTTTGTACTCCCCCCACCCCAGTACAATCTGCTGACGTCCACACAAACGCGGATGAAGATTGTGTCTCTGCGCAGAGTGGCGGCGGATACGAGGAGACGGCGCTATTTAGCAGAACAATGCGGCGTCAGTCCTCAGAGACACAGGTGAGAGCGATCCCGCTTCGTCAGCGGCCGCGGACGGCGGGAAAACCATTCCGTGTGCAAATGAAAGTGACATTTATACATTTTTTATTACGGCTCCGCATTGTGTTTTATAAAAGGGAAGAAGGGAAAGTCTGAGCTCCAAAGTTTTATTTACAAGGGGAAAAGAACGTTCTGCTATGAAGAGAAAAACATGGATGATTCTTCACTATCTCATCATTCACCATCATCATTCATCCATCTCATCATTCACCATCCATCATTTTCATCATCCATCCATCTCATCATTCACCATCATCATTTTCATCATACATCATTCATCCATCTCATCATTCAGCATCCATCATTCTCATCATTCATCCATCTCATCATTCACCATCCATCATTCACTATCATCATTCATCCATCTCATCATTCATCCATCTCATCCTTCATCCATCCCATCATTCACCATCCATCATTCACTATCATCATTCACCATCCATCATTCACTATCATCATTCATCCATCTCATCATTCACCATCTCATCATTCATCTATCTCATCATTCACCATCTCATCATTCCTCCATTTCATCATTCACCTCCCATCATTCATCCATCTCATCATCCATCATTCACCATCTCATCATTCACCTTCCATCATTCATCCATCTCAACATCCATCATTCATCCATCTCATCATTCATCCATCTCAACATCCATCATTCATCCATCTATCTATTTTTCATCTACTTATCTATCTATATAAAATATTGTAACAATCTCACCAATGGTAGTAATCTCTGGATACATCAGCGTATGCCATCAATGTGTGCACAAATCTCTCCCATCCATCCTTCTATCCATCCATCTATCAATCTACAGTATT